TTCTTCATCCTGATCAACGACACTCTATCGGACACTCCTCACAGGTGGAAGTACGTGGATGACTGCACTGTGGGGGTTTCAGTGGACAACACCGCACCAGACTACTCATCGCTCCAAGGCACCCTGGACAGGCTACAGGCATGGACTACGGAGAACAAGGTCGCCATCAACCACACCAAAACCGTAGTCATGCACATCAATACCGCCACCACTCCAGTGCAAGCCCCAGTGCAGTCTGCCAAACTCCTGGGTGTAACTATAGACAACAAACTTGACTGGAAGGTCCATGTAAATAACACAGTCAAGGCAGCCTCGTACCGTCTCTACATGCTACGAAGACTTAGGTCACTTGGGACACCCACGCCAGAGCTGAGGACCATCTACAGCGCCTTTATTCTCCCCAAACTAACGTATGCGTCACCTGCCTGGTCGTCTTCTCTCAACTCCACCCAACAACGTCAGCTAGAGAAGGTACAGAAAAGGGCCTGCAGAATCATGCTCGGCGCAGAATACTCCGGCTACACCAACGCTCTCTCCACCCTGGAAATGCCATCCCTCAGTGACCTCCACCACCAAGCACTGGAAAGGTTTGGCCGTGGACTACTGCACCACCCTCGCCATCGCCACCTCCTGCCACCTGCAGCCCCCCACCCAACTCGCGCAGTCCGCCACTACAACAAAATTCAGCCCATAAGAGCCCGCACCGATAGATATAAGAACAGCACCATCCCATCTATTGTTAAAATAATAAACAACTCCTGATTTATGTACTGTACAGCCCTGTAAATGTATTCAATGCATATTATATCATTATGTCTAAATCAAATGTAAGTCTGTATATTTTCAGCCACCGGCTGCAACTCTATTAATAAACCGTTTATTATTATTATTATTACAATACTCTTGCAACACCAACCTGACACCCACTACTCCTGCAACACCCACACTGCCACCCACTACTTCTGCAACACCCACAGTGCCACCCACTACTCCTGCAACACCCACACTGCCACCCACTACTCCTCCATCACCCACACTGCTACCTACTACTGCTGCAACACCCACACTGCCACCCACTACTCCTGCAACACCCACGACGCAGACTATAATTCATTGTTCTATTTATTCATCTTGAGGTTAATGATCTTGGAATGACATTTGCACACATGAATAGTATCTCAGAAAAAAAAATTGAAAAATAAAAAAAAATATCTTATCAAAAGAATCTTGCGAATACTAGTTAAAATAAAAGAAGGATATTATTTCTTCTGATGCAGGGAAAGGGTGTGGCAGTGCATCACACACACAAGCACATACACGCACGAACGCACGAACACACACTCGCACGCTCTCACGCACGCACACGCACGGTCACACACACACATCTCAAGTATGATATACAAGTATTTATGTTGGTACCTACATCTGTGAGGATATTTCTTATACTCTATGTTCCTGCGACACAAATGTTGATATAGAAAATTTTCAGTGCATTTGTACAAAAAAAATTAAGGTCTTCAAGGTGGTGAGAGGATAAGAGACTAAGCACATAGCGTATGTCTTGGTTGAGTTTTCCATGCGGGGTTCTCGGGACCTTTGACTCTAGTAAAATTGAGATACAGTACAGATTCCAAATACACTAAGATCAAGTTGTCACATGGTGTCTGGTGCACACTGGTGTCTACATCTGTCAAATGGTGAAAAGAAAAAAGTGGCGGAAGAGAACCATTTATCTGTGACTTTAAGAGCACCTTCAGGTAAATGCAGTGCAATAAATAACCAATAAAAACGCGAATGAGTCTGCCGGCAGGGATTGTATGTCTGGGTTAATGTATTCTCAAGTGTGGTGGATTATAATTTTATAGAAATCCCCCAAAAAACCTATATAGTATTGCCAGTATGATAATATAAACCGTTGTGTAGTTAAAAAAATTGTGGCTTTAACAATATACGTTGTACTTGTGCTCCAGCATGCGGGGCGCCATAAGGTGGATGTTTGCCAGATTTAACCCCCTTTAAGAAACATTTTAGAGACTTCCAAGGAAGATGGGTGTCTGTAATGCCGTACTTTCTAATCAAGTAAGATTCTAATAACTATCCATTAGATACTACTAAATGAATAAAAAAATTAAATAAAAAATAATAGAATTTTAACTCTGATTTTACTAAACCAACGTACAGTCTCCATTGTTGAAATATATTAGAAGGACTAAACTATGCCTACCCTCATCCCTCCCTTACCAGTGGAAGATACATAAGTATATAAAACTAACTGGGTGTCCAGAGAAGATAGATGGCAGACATTCTATAGAAAATTACATGTATATTGTCACACTTCTCCAGCCCTGCCTGACGCCCCCCTGACCCCTGCCTTGTCTGCCGCGTCCCCTTCTGCCTCGTCCACCACGCCCCCTGTCCTCTCTGCCACACCCCCCCCCCTGCCCTTCCCGCCACGCCTCCCTTGCCTGCCACGCCCCCATACCTTGCACGCCATGTCCCCTTGCCAGCCACAACTTCATACCCGACAAGCCACGCCCCCAGGACCAGAGTGTGCTATACAGTATCGTCATTCACATCAAGTGGGTAAGCCTTTTCATGATACACGCCATAACCAATACTATGACAATTCGTCACATGAAAAGAAACGTAGAAATTTCCCCTATGCATTGGATAAATCATCACTGAAGAAATTACGACTCATAGGCGAGAGTAAAAGGCAGACTGAGCAAAGGAGTGTGTTAGTGCTGAACCAACATCGCTGAAAGAAGTTTTTGAATTCTCTAAAAGGTGGTGTACACGACGCTCAGCAACAAGATATTAAGTTGCCAAAAAAAACTGCACGAGTCACTCAGGTCAAAACGCCTCAATATTTACAGAGCCAACATCAGAGCCTAACATTGGTGAAAACACGAAATAAGATCACTCCCTTTTTTCGGAACTTTCTCTTAAATTCTCCCAGAGTAGAAGATTAATTGTACATATAAGTGGTGTGTGTGGGAAAGCGTAGGCAAGTGTTGTGTAGATGGGGTGTAAATGATACAGGTGAATGTGCTTAAATCTCTGGCTCTGCACACGAGTTTAACTGGATGAGGATTTTTTTTCTTATGTTACACGGCCAAGTGACCAGTGACCTCAGTAGTGGAGGTTCATCATCATCATCTGCGTGACGGTGGTGTGTACGCTGGTGGCCACGTGGAGTCACAGCGTAGAGGAGTGTGGGAGGGACTTGTAAATTTACCCATTCACCCATCAACTCATGCCTTGATCATCACTTCAGTAAAATACACTCCGAACTGTTTGCTGTTTGTTACTGAAGCGTGTAATATTATCTCGAAAATAAAGGTAATGCAGCTAAGAGCAAGTTCTGGATTATCAAATTTACTTGTACTATTAATATCATTATCACAACCGGTAATGCCAAGAGTAAGTTATGAATAAACTATCATTTATACTATTAACATCATTTCCGGTTTACAAACTTTAATGACTTACCACTGGTGGGATCAGAGCGTAAGATGCAGAATTTACAATAATTTGTTTTCCAAATTCTCAGCGCTAGTCTTCCTCTCCTTACGTCAAGTAATAATGTACGTTAACATTCGCTCATCCAGTACACTCGTAATACTGAAGCTGAAATGAAAAGTCTGCCTGGTACAACAACAACATTCATAACCTTGGTGGTTAGTGTCACTGTTTCCTCCTGTTAATTTTCACAACACAGCTACTTGTTTTACTCCCCGCAGCGGTCTTGGAGGAGCTTGTCTGCACAGTAGTAGTGAGCGTGTAGGCGGGCTCTGTTACTCTACACCACCACAAAGCAGCTGGTCACCGACGGCCCAAGCTCTCTCCCTTACTTGTGTTGGTCTGTCATTCATTGTGGAGCGTTATTAAGAAAAGTGGTATGTCCTTAATGGTACTTTTGGACCATTATGATTAACCTTCTCCAATAACACCCCCCCAAAAAAAAAAAATAAATATATATATATATATATATATATATATATATATATATATATATATATATATATATATATATATATATATATATATATATATATATATATATATATATATATATATATATGGCTCAGGCTATACAGTATTTATTTTTCTTGTTATTTATAATATACATTAACAATGAGCATACTTATAAATTGTCTACCAGAGGACATTTTTCTTAATTAAGCCTCCCTTTATATAGGACGAATATCCTTTATATCTAAACAGTACGTATCTTTAAATCACTTTGTTCCATTTGCGATATACTATGATGATTTATGCTGAACTTTACAGCACATGGTAATAATATGAAATTTTCACTAACATAAAATACCACGTCAAACCAATATCGATTCTGAACATAATACTACTACTACTACTAATAATAATAATAATATCCCGAGTTGTTTACATGTCCCAACACAGTAAAAGATCAGCAAATATAAGGACATTGTGGGGAAGAGAATAGTCAGTGTGGGCAGTGTCAGGAGCACTTCCCAGGAGAGGATCCCCACCACGTGAACTCTGTACTGAAAGCGAGTATTGATAACTCGTTCAGAAGTGTTTGTTTCGGAAGACTTAATAATAAATTTCTCTTTATTCTAACATGCACAAAAAGTCATATTGTATGCAATGGTAGGATCAAAATGCATGCACTTACAGGAATATTTCTACCCCTTTTTCTCACTGTAAATGAACCCAGTCAGTGTTGTTAAATACTAACTTCTGTACTGCACTGTACTATACTATACAATAAGCTATGCAGGTAAGGTAAGTGGAGTGACAGAGGTGGTGACAACCCATCCATACATACTGGTCAACACTGGCTAAAAAGTCCTGTAGAAGGCCAGGGTTCACCTCCCCCAACTTCCCTCGAGCTGAAGAATGATCACATAAAGAAAACATTACGATATGCGATCAGGATTTAGAGTCAGGGCAAGGCACTCCTATGGTACGTTATCTGGGTTATATCAATACATTATGACGGAAATTATATTTACTGTGGTGTGCTACGCTGGGTACAAGTTCGAGTGCGATATCGGTAAACTATTTTATCAGTTCTGTTGGCACGTGGAGGTGACATGTTTCGTGGCTCTCGTAGTACATAAACACACAACACAGTGCCAGGGTCAGCCGTCTCGGAGTAGCACGCTCAACACAGTTTTTAAAGAAGATATATTGATCACGAGGTTGATGTACTGTAGTGTCATACGGTGATGCTGTCTCATAGCTTTCTATCTATGACGTACTTCGGAGACGAGATATTTCTTGCCTGAGAAAATATTTTTATATACTAACAGATAAAGTGTGTTTCATGCCAGGAGTCACTTGGTTCTTTTCCTGTTCAATCTTATAATCCACCTGAATATATTATGAAATATATTTGTATCTAAAATATATCATGTAAATTTTTATATATGTGTAATAACAGGTAATTATCATTATCATCTGTCCCTTCCACCATGACACGCCTTCACTGGTCTCTTCCACCTTCTTCAATTACGCTAATGAATTAAAATTATTAACTCACATTGAAGACGAGCCAGTTAACCTCAGTCACAGTTATATTATAGCGATATAATCTCACCCACTAGTCTTTCATTAAGTGACAAATTCTCAGTCATCACACGAACTCACAAGATGAAGAAGAACTAAGATACCCAGAGTCATGAGAGAGCGAGGGAGAGCTGGAGAGCTTGCACGTCCTCTCACCTCCACGTCTGAGGCACAACTGACATGGGTGGCCCAGGGGCCAGGGGCCAGGGTGGGACCTAGGGGAGTTGCTCCCTCGCTCACTCAGCGACAAAGTCGGTGAGTTAAAAAGATTACCATCTTGAAGCACGAGACCCATGCCATACAACAATAAATCTGATGCAGCCACACAGTGTCTAGGAAATGATCGTGATTACGTACGCAGCTTGAAGCGGGAGATTAGCTTGTTATTCATTTTTCTTTAAGAACTAAAAGTTGTAATTAAGCGAATTTGGGAGACAAAAATGTAATTTTGTGTGTATTCACATAAAGAGGAAAGTGAGATGTGTGTGTGTGTGTGTGTGTGTGGCACGCCCAGTCAGACCACAACAACACTGCCGTTATTAGTTCACAACCGTAATTATCACAACAAATATAACAATTTCGTTGTTGAACTCCATATATCACTAACACATCCTCCACGAGCTATAAGGAGAAGCTTTAAGAAATGCATGTTGGTGAAGAGAGAGAGAGAGAGAGAGAGAGAGAGAGAGAGAGAGAGACGCCACTCACTAGTCATCCAGGAAGTAAAAAACTCTTTCCTCTGAGTGCGCGTGCGTGTCTTCCATGTGACTGAGGTGGGGTGGGCGTATCGGCGTAGCTGACCTCTCCGGTGTAGTGAGCGGGATCTGACCCCTCTGGTGTAGTAGGTGGGTCTGACCTCTCTGGTCTCCTCCTTGTACACTATACTGGATCAACTACTTGTACACTATACTGGGTCCCCTCCTTGTACACTATACTGGATCACCTCCAAATTGCGTAGTTGTTGACAGTGGCATAAGACCCAGCTCAAGGTGTGGTATAACCTCCGTGTTGCTGTATGTGGTTAATCAAGGGATCAGCACCTGGCTGACCACCCTGCGCGCGCGTTTACACACGAATGCGCACACACACACACACACTCACAGAGGAGTGGTAGGATGTTGGATGAGTGTGCGTGGTTGGTGGGTAAGAGTGAGTTGTGGGGAGGAAGAGGGTGAGTGGTGAAGTGAGTGGGTAAGATTAGGTGGTGGGTAGGGAGATGGTGGGTTATGGGTAGGTCTGAGCGTGTGGTTTGGTAACGATTCGATAGTGAGTGGACTAAAGTGGGTGGTGGGGAAGAGGGGTGGGCAAGAATAGTTAGTGGGTGGGCTAGACCGGGTGGTGGGTGGGTGGTAGGTAAGAGCCACATCATAATATATGCTGACGACGTCGATCATATCATCAAGTCCTGAGAAAAAAACAGCGTAAATGATGAAGAGAGGGACGGTAATTCCACCGACGCCCCGAAAAGTTAACTCACCGATGCCTCCGACAGTTAACTCACCGATGCCTCCGACAGTTAACTCACCGATGCCTCCTACAGTTAACTCACCGACGGATCAAGCGTAAAAATATTCGAGGAGGAAAACCAGGAACAATTACATCGGCGATATTTACAGAAGATCTTTACCATTAGTGAACAGGAGAACGAGGGCTTCGACAGGGAGTTTGAGGAGGACATTTTAGGTCAGTTGCAGGACCATCAGCACCTGCTCCAGCCGCTCGCTTGGACTGACTTCACTAGACTGGTGGACGACAGCTACCTGAAGGAGCGCATAGTTCCTGCAGATCTGTCAGCTGCCATAAAAGGGTTTAAAAACAAGTCACCTGGGCAAAGCCATATTAACAAGAAGATCCTGGCCCAACTCCCCGACAACATGATAGAAAGGCTTGCTCATATATGCAATGCCTGCCTCGCCTTTGGATACTTCCCTTAGATGATCAAAATCGCCGTTATCCGCCTCATACCAAAAGCAGGGAAGCCTCCAAACAAAGTCGAAAACTTTCGACCAATATCGCTGCTAGAGGTACCTGCCAAAATCCTCGAAAAAATAGTAAACAAGCGGTTGCGGATGTATCTAGAGGACGAAGACGTGCATAATCCCTGCCAGTTCGGCCTCCGCCAGTACCGAGGTACATCCACCGCCATAGCCCAGGCATACGAGCAGATCGCCAACGCCATGACTGGCCGCCTGCAGTGCAACGTAGTGCTGAGGGACGTCAGCAAGGCGTTTGACAAACTTTGGCAGGCGGAGCTGCAGTATAAGATCATACAACGGGGCTACCCGAAAACCTAACGCGCCTGCTGTGCAACTTCATTACGGACCGCAGAGCCAAAATGAAGATGCAAGAACATTGTGGAGAAGATCCCACTATCGAGCGGCGTGCCTCAGGGATCTTGTCTCTCACCAACCCTTTACACACTCTACACGGCTAACTTGTCACCCCCAATCGTCGACAGCGAGTACGTCATATATGCCGACGATGTAACATAGATCGTCACCTGTCCAGGAAAGTTCACGGCAAGGATAGCACGACTCACTGCTCGGGCAATAAAGGATATCTCGGAGCATGAAAATGAATGGAAAATAATCACAAACAAAACGAAATTCGAGGTCATACCCATAGCCAAATTCAAGCCGGCCCCATTGATGATCGACGACGAAGAGATTGAGTACTCTAAAGAAGGCAGGTTACTCGGCCTCATCATCTCTTGGACGGGCATCATTTCTCAAGTGAAGGACAGACTAAAGAAAACAGAAGTCGCTGCCACCAATTTAAACATTTTAAACTGATGCCTGAGAAGATACAAGTCCACGTGTACAAGGCGCTGATGAGGCATGTGTTGGAATACCCACACGTACCACTTGTCACACTCTGGAAGACCAGACTACAACAACTACAGAGCTTCCAAAACAAGTGTCTGATGTCAGCCAGTGGATAAGCGTCACCACCCTACCAGGAGACAGTGAAAGCCATCCACCTGAGAAATAAAACGGACGCCCTCAACGTCAGGTTCCATCGCCTTGGGAAGAAGGTTTGAGACAAGCTCCAGGACGACCCTCACAGCCCAAACCACCACCAATTTCAATTTCAATTTCAATAGTTTATTCCTTGATAAAGGAAGCAGGATCCTAGTGCTGTCACTTGGTACCCCTGTACAATAACACCAGAAGCATCTGGCAAGTGTCACAAGTATATACAGTATAAATATTATAAAGGGGCTAACTAAAGCTTAAGAAAGGAAGAATATTCCTTTAACACATTATCAATATTATTTACATAATATCTGGCCAGTATGGGGAGGATCATCGTGTCTCCGTCAGGGGGTCGTGGAGTGGTGGTCCAGCAGGCGTCACGGAAGCGTTGTGTGTGGGGACATCTTAGGAGGTAGTGGATAAGGGTGCGGCTGTCGGGTCTTCTGCATAATGCACAAGAGCGTTGCTCAGGGGATGCGGGGATACTGTGGGGTACGAGTTGTTTGGTTCACACTCAGGATGGGATGGAGAAAGGAAACTCACAATGTGCTCTCTGTTTACCTGTACATAATGTATTGGAAGTACAATGCAGCTTGGTGCTGGGAAGGCAGCATGGTTACAAGCATTGAGTAGAGAGAGCTGGTTGGTGAGGGTGCTCAGAGGAGGAAAAGCTTGTGGGTCGCCATGGTCGCCGGCGGGAGCGAGGGCCGCCAGGCAGTGGCGGAGGAGGTGGTGTTGCTTGCTGCGGCTGTAGCTAGAAAAGAGAGGGTGGTCACCACGAGGTCAGGTCTTAAATAGCAGAGGTAGGCGTGGCTTAGTAGTTGACCTCCGTCATGTACTGCAAGGCGGCGCTGGTTGACCCAGACCACGAGGGGAGGGATCCACTGCAATACCAATCTCCCAAGCAAAGTCATACCCAATAATGATACGGGTAGCAATCACGTCCCTTTTCCGCGACCCTTTCCATAGACAAACGAGAGGTCAGGAAATTTACGGAGGACATCGTACCAGGTGGGCGGGGAGTCCAGGGGGATGGCTGCTTCCCGAGCTTTTCTCTGTTTGCGGCGAATTTAACCACCACCTACGCGGGGAAGACATCAACGGAGGGCGACCCCACGCCTGGTGGCCACGGAGTCTGCCCGCACTACAACAACCCAACCCGCGACCCATCTATGTCCGCCAAAACGATCCACCTTAGATTCAAACTTAGATGATATAAGTTCATATTTAACAAGTCACAATCTAGTGAGTCCATAACGTAATTCAGTATAAGATTTTAGTAAATATGTAATTGTAAAATCAAACTAGTCATTGTCTCCCAAAGTAACCATTGTACAACCTCATCCTAAATCCTAGGTTAGCTTAGTTAGCCAACAAACTCTGTTATATGTAAAACAAGGGGTGTTGTCTCCCTCTGTTTAACTCATTAAACTTCTTTTCCAATCTTTCCCCCACGACTATCTGTCTTGACTTCTCTATCTTTCATGTCTGGCTGTGCCTTGAGCCCCAGCATGCCTTCCATCCTTTCCCCACCTTAACCAAAAAATATAAAATAAAAACTACAAACACGACGCCTCCGATAGTCAACTTACCGACGCCTCCCAACAGTTAATTTACTGACGCCTCCAAAAGTTAACTCACTGAGGCCTCCAACAGTTAACTTACTGAGGCCTCCAACAGTTAACTTACTGAGGCCTCCAAAGGTTAACTTACTAAGGCCTCGAGCAGTTAACTTACTGATGCCCCAAAGAGTTAACTTACTGAGGCCTCCAACAGTTAACTTACTGAGGCTTCCAACAGTTAACCCACAGAGGCCTCCAACAGTTAACTTACTGAGGCTTCAAACGGTTAAATCACTGAGACATCCATTAGTTTACTGATGCCTCCAACAGCTAACTTACTGAGGCCCCAATTGTT